TGGAGCTAGAAGAAATAAGAAGAGGGACAAGAAAGGAAAGGAGTAACTGTAATCACCTGAAGAGTGGGAATTAGGAGAGGACCTTCACATCCCTACCTAAACTGGAGTGATGTAGAGATTTGGAAGGATTCAGAATTCTGAAGCCATCCTATCAGCTCTATCTACCTCTCTGGGGCTGTATTCTGAATCCAGAAGTCCAAGGACCACTAGATCATAACTCTGGACCTGGAAGGGACCTTAGGGTGTATCTAGTCCAATCTCCTCATTTAGGAAACCAAGGCTTAGGTAGAATAAGTGACTTGTCTAAAGTCCCACAGGTAGTAAGTGATGGTTGTAGGGTTTCAACTAAGTTCTCTGATCCCAGTGAGCATTCTTCCCACACTTTATGGGATTTTCATCTTAAAAGACCTTAATCACCCAGGAGAAGTACTGCTCTGACTGCCTAGCAGGTTTCCCCTTAGGCAGTATCAGGAACTAATTAGGATCACAGATATAGGGCTGGAAGGAATCTCAGAAGCTATCCTCATTGTACAGACAAGGAAAGTGAAACATAGACAATTTAAGTTACTTGCCCAGGGTCACAGAACTAGTGTCCGTAGGATTTAAACTCAGGTCTTCCCAACTCCAAGTCCAGTGCTCTATCCATTACTCTACACTGCCTGCCTTGCCTTAGTTTGTATTCTGGATAAGGTACTGGGGCATTCCCACACTATTGTCCTCAAAGTTCACCTAGATCAGAGCTGGAAAGTTACGTGGCCATTCCTAAGTTTTAGAAGAATTCATCTACCACATTTCAAAAAATAGCTAGAAGTGAGAAGAATTTCAAAATATTAAGGAGAACGAGGATGAGGTAGTAGTAGAAGAAGAAGAAGAGGAGGAGGAAGGAGAGAAGGAGGAAGAGAAGGAAAAGAGACAAAAGAGAAGAAGAAGAAAGTAGGAAAGGCAGGAGGGCTTGAAGAAGGGCGGATTTGAGAATAGAATAGGAGAGAAAGACCCACACCTGCTATGGTGGTATTTAACCTCCAGAAAATGTTTATTTTGGAGTTATTAGCTCCTAAAATGATCCAACTCCAATTGTTCAGTTGCGTCCAACTCTTTGGGACCCCATTTGGTATTGTCTTGATAGTGGAGTAGTTTGTCATTTCCTTTTCCAGATCATTTTCAGATGAGGAAACTGAGGCAAACGAGGTTAAGTGACTATCCCAGGGTGACATATTTCAGGCTAGATTTGAACTCAGTTCTTCCTGACTCCAGGTTGGCATGATCCACTGCATCACCTAGCTGCACCCCCATATAGTCTAATGGAAATATTGCTCTTGCCTTAATTTATGAGGGTAACATATTGGTAATCTCTCTGATATTTTCTCCTTTGCCACAAAGTACTTCTCATAAATGAGGAGAGCAGAGGATGGCTTAGCCCAGAGGAAATGAACATGGACAGCTTTGACCCATTTCTTCTTGTTGTAGGCTGAATGGCTGATTGTGATGGGTAGCTGTGATCCCAAACCTCTCTGTGGATTCAGAGGACAGAATCATCCCTCTTCCATCATAATGATGTTTGGAACATGGTTCCCATTTCTGGTTAAGCCACAGTCACCCACCCATTTCTGTTTTCAGGAAAGCCAGAGTCCATAGGAAAGATGCACACTGAATTCTCTAGCTTCTATCAGCTGCCTCATAGTGGAAGACATGAGCTGTGGACTTGGCAGAAGCCACAGACAGGACTCCGTGTGGTCACAGACTGGAGCTGCCCCCAAGAGGAAAAAAAGCAGATACTTTTGCTCTGGCTGGAATTGGATAGCTTTAATTCTTTGCAATTCCTGCTCCCTCACCAATCATCCTGACTGTTCAGTAGAGGCCATTTAACTGAGGTTTTGAAAGACCGTCATATGCATGAGGGATTAGGCTTTTTCTGTGTAACCCCAGAGGATGGGACTAGGACATGTGGGTAGGAAGGACAGTGAATCAGATTTCAATATTTGAAGCAGTAAGAAAATGGAATGGGCTACTCTGTTAGAAAGTAAATTCCCCATCAATGTATATATTCAAGCATAGGTTATATGACTTCCACTTGTTGAAAGTACTGTAGAGCGGAGCCCTACTTTGGGCAAGAGTCATACTAATGGCTCCTGAGGTCCCTGTTAACTCTGGGAATCTAGGATTTTCCAGAGAAAAGATGCTACCTCCCACCATTCTTACCCAAGAGGCAGTAATAATAGCTCACCTTTATATAAGAATTTATAGTTTACAAATCACTTTCCACACAATAACCCATAAAGTAGGTTGTTATGTCTGGAGCTCCCAAAGACTCCTAGAGACTGATGAGGTGGGAGGGGAAGTTTCAGACAGTCATTGCATCAGCGTTGTCTCAGAAAGGCGTTATGATCATAAATTCACTTACACTAGAAGGCTAATCCCTAGCTACTGGAAAAGAACCAAGCATAATCACTGCACAGAAAATCCCTCAGAGGAATGGAAAATTCACTCACAAAATACAGCTCCCCGGGTGATTTTCCCATGAGGCAGAATACCAGGAACATAGGATCATAGATTTGGGGCTGAAAAGGACCTTGGAGTTCATCTAGTCCAACCCCTTCATTTTACAAATTAGGAAACTGAGGCTCATAAGGAGCCCTCTAAGATCACAGAAGTAGGAAGTAACAGAACGGAGCTTTGAACCCAAATCCAGCACTCTTTTCATTATAGCCTCCAAGGAAACTTCCTAGTGTTCCAAACAATGTAGCACCACTCCTCCTGAGAAGAAAATGCTCTTCCTATAGAAAATGCTCTCTATACTAGTTGCCTCCATTTTTTCCCCTTTCACTCACTTTTCAATCCTTTGTAGTCTGGCTTCCAAACTCCTCACTCAATTGAAACTGCTTTCTCTAATGTAACCTGATTGTAAGCCCCCTGAGGGCAGGGACTGTTTCATTTTTGTGCTTGAATCCCTAAAACCCAGCACAACATCTGCCGTGTGGTAGGCACTTAATAGTATTCAGTCATTTCAGTGGTGTCTGACTCTACATAGCCCATCTGAGGTTTTCTTAGCAAAGATACTGGAGTGGTTTGCCATTTCCTTCTCCAGCTTAGTTTACAGATGAGGAAACTGAGGCTAACAGGGTTAAGTGACTATCCCAGGGTGATACAGATAGCGTTTCAGGCTGGATTTGAACTCAGGTCTTCCTGACTCTAGGCCTGGCACTACCTGTATCACCTAGCTGCCCCTCTAAAAATGCAGTCTAATGGAAATGTTGCTCTTGCCTTATTTATGAGGTAACATATTGGTAATGCCTCCAATATTTTCTCCTTTGCCACAGAGTACTTAACTGAGAAATACTAGCCTATCCACTATGCTGCCTATGAACTTAATATACACTTGTTTGTTGATTGAGCCTTGAAGACTTACCTGGACCTGGTTTTTTTTTCTTGTAAACAATCAAATTTGGCCAAATGCTCCAACAACCACGATCAGTCAAAATAACTACTGACAATAGACACCACTTGTCCATATTCCAAAAGTTCCCTTAAATTCCCACCCTTATATTTCCTCAAGTGTTTGTGCAATTCAACCAAGCTATGACCAAATCAACCACTTTTCTGAGCCACAGTCTTCATGGAGCTAGTTTCAACCAGCTCCATCCACCATTACCTCTTGACATTGTGCTGGTATAAACAAAGCAAATATTGTTCCCATTTTACAGATGAGGAAATTGAGTCTTAGAGAGGTTAACTGATTTGCCCATATCACACAGCTCACAAGTGTTGGAACTACAACTCAAACCTAGGTCTTCTCAGCAGGTAGGTTGGGGGTCCTCGATTCCTTCTAAGCTACCAAGTTTCTAAGCAAGATGATATAGCCTAGCTCCAGCAAATCCTGTTGCTCCAAGGAAAGAAATGTAAATGGCCAGCCTTCAAGGTCATATCAGTGTTGCAGACCCCCTTCATGTTCCCCCCACTCCCACCATAATTCAGCTCATAGCAATGGTTCTAGCTTCTTTGAGGGTATGACCCCAACGAATAGCTGTAAAGAACACACTGCATCCTTCTAAATGTGCACTGCACATCTGGGAAACCTCTGGGTGTTTGGTAACTCATCTGTGAAGCTATCCTTGAGCAGGTGAGGTAAGATGGTGACCTCATCCATCTATTAGGGAAGGCAGTTAGGGTGGGGAAGGAGGAGCAGAAGAAAGGGACAGGAAGGTTCAGGGAATTGATTGAGGAGCCTCTGCTCTCATCCAAAAGCAACTTAAGTATCAAGAAAAAAGGAAAAAAGGAATAGCATTTTCTTTCATCATCAGCTTCCAGTTCACAATTAGCAAAAGCCACATGGTCTGCTACCCCCTGAACCATTCCATGGGCAGACCTTCAGCTTTTCCTAAATATCAAGGGGGCAGTGAACCCTACCCAGAGTCCACACTCTTTGAAGACTTTTTTTTTGCTACTGGAGGCTAGTGAACTGGACCAGATGGGGAGAAGGAGCAGCAAAGTTTGGAAGCCTTGGAAGGCTGAGGGGAGGCTGGTCCTGTCTGTATCCTCCTCTTGGAATCTCAGCTCCAGAAGCCCAAATGACTCATTGGACTGAACAGCCTGCGTACCTGGAGGGTGGCTGGCCTGGGGACACAAGCGTCTGACCAGCATCTCTCCTAGCCTAACAAGGGGATATCACATGGACCAGAGCAGCTTGAGGCAATAAGCAATAAGAAGTAGCAGTAATAGCAGCACTAGCAGCAGCCCAAGACAGCCCAAAACAGCCCTTCCTGAAGGTCTAAAGCCCCCAAAGCAGGCAGGCGGACAGACAGGCGGACAGGCAGACAGGCAGACAGGCAAATATTTTCTCCTTTTAGAGTAAGGGGTGTCCCCCAGCTTTCCCTCTGGGCTTGGCCCAGGCCCACAGGCCTTTGGAGAGATGAGTTTTGGCTGAGGCCTCTATGGAAGAAGAGAGGGAAAGCAAGGGTGTCAACACACAGGCCAGAGGAGATTCAAGTTGAGCGCAAACATACTTGAGGTCAGCAGAGTGTGCAGCCATGAGGTTTCTGAGGCTCTTGTCAGCAAGAGGACAACCAGAAAGGCTGAAAGAGAAGAGATGGAATATCTGGGTAAGGCCAAAAAAAAGGGGGGGGCAGGAGGGGTGAGTTGAGGGAGGGAAAAGAAGTACCAAACCATCCACACGTAAAATAGGCTTAAGAGTCAGAACCTGAAATCAGAAGGCAACGCACCTGCGATGGGAGGCATAGTTTCCAGTGATGTGTCCACTGCCATCACAGCCTGGGGTGGGACAGCTAAACAAAGAAACAGAAAGTGTCAGTCCCCGAGAGAAATAGATTTGTGTAGAGGTGAGTCCTCCTATAACATGATGAGAAACCCTCCCTCTCCAATGCAGGCCTAGGGCAGCTGGGAACAGAGATGTGGGCGGCCAAACCTAATCAAGCCTTCCAGGAGCAATTTCTTATTTGGAAGTCCTTATTTCCACCAGTAACTCACGTTTATGAAACACATGAAGGTTTGTAATGTGCTTTACATACATTATCACATTTGATCCTTATAATACCCGTGTGAGAAAGAAAAAAAATGCAGATATTATTATAAATGAGGAAATGGAGTCTCCTCCAGAGGTTAAGTGACTTGCCCGTGGTCAGACAACTATAATTATCCCTTGCACATTGCAGGCGTTAGGGGCATGGGGCGCCCGCCCCATGATCTGGAAAATCCATGCAAAATAATCTACCCTCCCTTTGTATCAGACAACAAGTCTGAATTATTATGGTATTAAAAAATAAAATATGTTGATATTGTATAATACTATACATATATTTTATGCATTTCTGAATTTCTAAACTTTTTCTGCATCATCTGCTGGCCTTCACATGTCTGCAGCTTCCACAAAATTTCCCCCAAATTCCCATTTAATTTCTTAAGCCGATCAGCATTCTATCAAAACTTCAATGGGGAAAGTCGTGATGGGGAAGGGATAACTGTAGTGTTGGGGCCTTACTCCGAGCTCAGTGTTCCTTCTACTAGACCCTATCACCTCCTAACCAGAACACAGCAGACCCTTCTAGCTTGTATTTTGTTTAGTGCAAACTTTTATTCCCTTAAAGGAAGGATCACCGAGATCACAATATGAGAGAAAAATCCCCAATAAAATTAAAGCCCCAATATCCCAAGTCCTGGAGAACTAACTTCAGACCCTGACTGCTTGGGGTAAGCTTGCTTTTTTGGAATGTTTGTGTGTGGACAAAGAGGAAACTGCTTTGTCTGTTGCCATATTGGTGAGCAAAGCAAACTTGTACACCCTCCCCACCCACCCAAATATAGCTTGAATCCAGGGCCTTCACTAGGGCCCTAAGGGAGTGACTCGGGCTCTAATATAGGCAAACCTCACGTAGTGGGTTCCAGTGGGAATAGCCCAGAATTTATCTCTGAAGACTATACTGGAACGAGACAATCTAATCACCCTGTCAGCCAGACAAAGTCATATTCTAATCACCAGGAGGGGCACTGAGATGCAGATAATCTGAAAGTCATTCCAAATACATTTGGTCTTATGAATACATCCCACCTCTTTAGAGAGGATTTACTTTCCTAATTATGCCCTTCTTGAGTTAATACTGAATAAATTTGCATTCTCTGAGCATATACCAACTGTGGGGAGGGGCATGGAAGGGGGAAGTAAAGTATTCCAGAAGCATGCTGGGATTAGAAATGTGTTTGGGATGACTTATAGTGTGGATAATGCATGTGTGGAAAACTGAGAATCAAATGTACCCATAGTTAAATCTGGAGTCCAGCATTATCCTGTGTTTCCCAGGGCTCAGAAGCTTGGTCAGTTCCATCCAGAAGGAAGGGAGCAAGAGACTACCATGTCCTTCTAAGGTAGCTAGAAACCCCAAGGGTCAGCCATACCAAGCAAATTAGGTTTCCTCTGTATTATGCTTCTCATTCTAAATGACAAGGTTCTTGCCTGTTAGATTCCATGCTATTAGAAAGGACTTTCAGTGTTAAAAAAAAAGTTCAAAATCAGAATATTTAAGAATGATAAATAATAAGGAAGTAGAAAAGAGTCAGTCTTCCTCCTTCTGTCCCCATATCCTCCATCTCCTTTAGGATGACATGGGACCATGAGGCCATGGTTAACTTATTCAAAGTAGCCCTTGGATTTGCTTCCTAGCTTTGCCTAAAGCGAGGCATATTTAGGACCGAAACACACAGGATGCCAGCAACAGCTCCATGAACAACAACAAAAATAACAAATCAGCCTAAGAAAATACTCCTAGGGAAGTAATAAGGCAGTATATCTTGAGACTAGGTCATTCAACCTTGTTCAACAAAATGGGAATAGCCCACTCAAGGTATGTGTCCATGGCAATGGCATAGAAGGAGGCCCCAAGCATCTACAACTCTCAAACAGTGTCAGTTCCTTTCCCCAAGCTTGTGTAAACTCTCCTGGGGCTGCTGTCAGCCAGGGAGGGAGACTTACGTGAGCAGCTCCTTCTTAATGTCCTTGGAGAGGAACTTCAGCTTAAAGTTGGTTAAGGTAACTTCCCCTGGATACTTTCGCTCTTCAAAGTTCTCCTCTGATACCTCCTGGTCATCTGCTTCAGAGGAAGCAAAAGAATTTGCTGCTGGCTCTGACTGCAAAAAACCAGCAGGGAGAGTTTTTACTGACCAGCTGGGGAGTCACCAGCAGTGATGCTGCCAAGGAGCGGCTGGAGGAACCCTCCAGAGAGCAGCCCGCCAGCTCCAGGGATCTGGCTCGAAGAGACTGCACAGGACAGTTTTCTATTGTTTCCTCTGCTCTCCTAAAAGTGAGGCTTTCGGGGCCTTATTGCCTGAAAAGAGAAAGGAAGAAGGCACCATCTCTCCTAGCCAGAGCTTTCAGGGGCAAGAAACAAGGGATCGGATCTTTCTCTGGGGTTGGCCGACGTGGGCACATTCTCCAGCCGTTGGCTTTTCTCACCAGAGAGAATGCCAGATGTTGACCCCGAGCACTTAAATTCCAATCTGAGAAGCTGTTCAGGACAAGTGAGAGTTTAATAGCTGACATCTGTTTGACACTTCATAACTATTAAAGCTTCTCAAATACATTATTATTAGGGGAGCAGTTTGGCATAGAGGGAAGAGCACTCAGTACTTCTGTAGTCAGAGGATGTGGGTTCAATTCAATTCCCATTTGGTGCCAGATCTGTGACCCATTAATCTCAGTTGACCCTCACAACAACCCTCTAAATATTGATGTCTAATGTTTAAAGATTGATATGAACTTCTTGAAAAATTTCTAGGAAAACATAATAGAAGAATTGAAGACTGATTAAATGGTAATTTTGCTTTCTATATACATTTTGAGAAAGAGGGTCAAATAAAAAGGTTTTATTTATGTAAAACAAAAAATACCTATTAATCTTACTCTACAGATGAAGAAACTGAGACTTGTCTAAGTAAGTGACCAAGCCAGGACTTGAACCCAGGTCTTCTGGTGTCAAGGCTCTGCATTCTTCTTACTTCACAATGCTCCTGGAATATAGGAATATCCCTATGGGTCAACAGATGTTGTATAAAATGAAGCCTGTATTAGTGGGGATCGCCCATACCATTAGTGATATAATGAAAAGAGCACTGGTATCGGGGATCAAAAGATCTGGGGTCAAGTTCAGCTCTATCACTTACTGGGTGTGTGACCTTAGGAAAGCTGCCCAATTTCTCAAGTCTCAGTCTCCTCATCTGTAAAATAGGAATAATGATTCTCACATAAGGTTGCTGTGAGGACCAAATGAGATAAAATGCTTTATGAACATAGAGTGCACTGTAAACATAAGTTGTCATAATGATAAGTTATTATTATTCACATCAGATGTACTACATCTTCCTAGTGCCCTGGGCTCATAACCTTGGGGTCATCCTCAAATTCTCACTCTCTCATCTCCCCATATCTAATCAGTTCCAAAGTTCTGATATTACTTCCTTCGTAATATCTCTCAAATATGTGCCCTTCTCTTTTCTAGGACAGGCACCACGTTGGTGCAAGCCCTCATCACCTCACACCTGGATTATTGCATCAGCCTGCCTTACATCTCCCCCCACTCCCATCCATCCTCTACTCAGTTGTCAAACTGATCTTCCTAAAGGGCAGGTTTTCCTAAAATCCCTATTCAGTAAACTCCAGTGGCTCCCTATTACCTCCAGGATCAAATATAATATCCTCTCTCTGGCTGCTAAAGCACTTCTTAACCTGGCCCTTTCCTGCCTGTCCATCTTCTTGTACCTTACTCTCCTTCATATACTCTACAATCCAGTGAAATCCAGTGACCAGTCTCCTGGCTCTTCCTCGTACATGACACTCTATTTCTTAACTCCTCCCGTTTTCATGACTGTCCCCCATTCTTGGCATTCTCTCCCTCCTCATCTTCCCCCAGCTTCCTTGGTTTCCTCCAAATTCCAGCTAATGTTTCATATTCTGCAAGAAACCTTTTCCAATTCTCATTAATTTTAGTCCCTTCCCTCTGACATTACCTCTAATTTATCCTTCTTTTTTGTACAGTTGTTTTTATGTTGTCTACCCCATTACACTGTGAACTCCTTGAGAGAAGAAACTGGGTTTTTAAAAATTATTTTTACTTATTTACTCTCTTGCCTTCTTTTATATCCCTAGTGCTTGGCACAGTGCCCGTTGCATAGTAAGTGCTTAACAAGTGGTTACTTGTTAACAGATGTATTTTTATATAGTATAGTCATGAGGACCTTGTACCTTCACTTTACTCTTAGATTCAGCTCATTGCAGCCTTAAGTCAAGGAAGGGCTACCTCTAGCTGGTACCCTCCTGTCCTGCCATTCTCTTGAGATGAGGGGATCACTTTTTGCTATGAAACATGAGTATAGGCCTCTCTACTAAGGCTTACATGGCCCTTTTCTTTCCCAGTTCCCATCTGGAAGTAAATTTTCTTTCATCCTTTTTTTCTGTGTCTCAGAATGCCTTCCTTTAGTCTGGTCCAGGCCTAGGAGGCCCAAATGGCTCCATCAGTCAATGAATGAACATTTCTTAAGTGCCTACTGTGTGCCAGGCACTGTTCAGTGCTGGGGACACATAGAAAGGCAAAAGAGAATCCCTGCTCTCAGGGGAGAGCATCTACCTTCCTCTGGGTCACTTCACTTCATCTCTGGAAGTTTTTTTTTTCTCCAGCCTAGCTTTGCCAAAGATAGTATGTGGCTATGACAACCACCCCAATGTACACAAACAGATGTGCTCTAAGGATGCATTTGTGGTACATATTGTGCCTGAGACTTAAATAGGATGCAGGGACCAGATTATCTCCCACTATTTAACTTTGGTCAATATTTAAAGATTCCATCAGCTCCTGGGAGGACCAATTATGAACTAATGAACCTGCATTAGCATTCAGAGGCCTAGAAACCTACTGTCTTTCCAAATGGTAACTTTACCTCATGGAACATTGAGGAGACCCGTAGTTTAAAGTTTGCAAAACACTTAACATATATAACCCCTTTTGATCCTCTCAGCATCCTTGTAAATGAAGAAAAAGTAGAAGTATTATTATAGTTGAAGAAATGGAGTCTCCTTCAGAGGATGTGACATGTCCAAGATTAGACAGTTAGTGCCAAAGTTGGGATTTGAACTCAGATTATTCCTGACTCAGGGACCATACTAGCTGTATGATCCTAGGCAAGTCACTTAACTTCTGTTTGCCTCAGTTTCCTCAACTATAAGATAAGAATAATGATAGCACCAACCTTACACAGTTGTTGTGAGGATCAATAAGGTAATATTTGTGGGGGAAAAAACCCCAAAACATTTAGCACAGTGCCTGGCACATAGTAGGCCATAATGTAAATGTAATAATATAATATAATGTAATATAATATAAATGCTTATTCCCTTCCTTTCTACTATTCTGTGCTGCCTCCTGGGTCAGATGGGCATATAGGGTAGAAGGACAGAGAGCCACACTTACTCCTTAGAATTCTATGGCAATTCTTCTAGGCTTATTATTCTTCATTAGGACTGTTGTTCTTTAGGAAGCTTTGTGCCCAATTGGATTACCAGTGTTTGGAAACCTGCTTCAGAACAGATTATGCCAGCCCACTATGCCAATTGCCTTCCTTGTTCCCACCTGTCTAGGCTGATCATTGTTTATGCCAGGGGAGTGGTAAAGATGATAAATTCACTTGTTGTGACTGGTGCATTGGAGCCATATGAGGGACAAAGATAACATTATCTTGGGCATCTCAGTGCTAGTTTTCAGGTGAGTATGGTGCCCACAATGCTAAGGGACTTTTGGGAAACTACATGTTGCTCATTGCATACTACTATAGTCAGGATTGACCCATTTAGAAAACCATTTTTAAAAGCTTTTACTCTTCAGCCCTGAAGCTCTGGCCACTCCACTTTGTTTGAGGAAGTTTTGTGTGTGGCTATGGAATATGAGAGGGTCATCACCACTGACTTGACCTAGGATAGTAAAAACACTGGGCAAATTTAAGGATGGCCTATGGCGTAATGAGAAAAAAATGAAAAACCAAAGAAACCAACCCAGCTTCTCTCTGACTGATGGCATTGGCAGTCACCCTAAGATCAAGGCAGTCAGACAAACAAGGAATAGGGCTTCAAGGTAATGGTTTGGCCTTCAAGGGACTAGACCCAAACTTAGCTCACATTCCTGAGGACCTGAATGAAAGCCATGGAGACATAAACCCATCACTTGGAAAGGTTTTTCATTTTTTTTCCTTTTCTTCTTGTTTTTTTTTAGGCAATTGGGGTTAAGTGACTTGCCCAGGGTCACACAGCTAGTAAGTGTCAAGTGTTTGGTCTGAGGCCAGATTTGCACTCAGGTCCTCCTGACTTCAGGGCAGGTGCTCTATCCATGGAAAAGGTTTTTCAGAAGTGATCGGCAGGAAAATAAACCCCAGCAATCTTTGTCTTCCCAACACTGGCCTCAGAAGGAGACAGGGCTGCTTGAGTCTTCGTTTCTTCCTTCCATCCCCAGGGAAGTCTAACAAAACTAAAATTTAGAATGTGCGTGTTTCAGTCACCCACCTCTTCAGGCTCCTCCTCTCGCTGACGGCTGGGTTTGGTATAGTCAATGGGGCCATCCCACTCATCCTGACGTGAGGTCTGACTGGACTGGGGTGAGGTCATGGTGCTGCTAGTGGCACTGGTGCTGTTTTGGCGTTGGGAAACATCTGGGGATTTGACACTGGGACTGCTGCTGCAGCTGCTGCTGCTTGGGAAGGCATTCTCCCGTTTGCGATGTTTGTTCATGCTTAAGTCCAGAGTCCCATTTTCATCCACCTCAATGTCCATAGACTGAAATTTGAAAGATGAAATCTTTCATTAGTCATTCTGCTACCTATCCCAAGGGCATCTTGCATGGTAAATTAGACAAAATGAATTATATACCCCAGATGACCTTAGTAAAACGTCCCCTTTGTGAGATGATAATGGAGGTCGATTCCATAGACCTAAAAAAGGCAACATTTCAGAAGGAAATTTCCTGGTTTACCAACTTTTGAGAGTCCCATGGGGATTCATTACTTGATTTTCATGGTCCTAACAGCTACCAAGTCAAATCTACATGGCCACTGACCTCTAAAAGCAATGTAGGACAATAAAAAGGATTTGGAGTCAGTAGACCTGGATTTGAATTCCGTCCCAGTCCCTTACAACCTGTGTGACCATGGACAGGCCAATTAATTTTTCTGAGTCTCACTTTTCTAATCTGAAAAATGAGTTGGATTAGGTGAAGTCTTTAAATGTATAATTTGATGATACTTTTCAATTCAATTCAGTAAACATTAAGTGTCTACTATATTCTAGGCATTGTGCTAAGCACACTATGAAAATATTAAATAAATAATAATAGTCAAGAAATATTTATTAAGCACCTACTATGTGTCAGGCACTGTGCTAAGTGCTGGGAATACAAATACAAATACAAAAAAAAAAAGACAGTCCCTGACCTCAAGGAGCTTACAATCTAATGGGAGAAGACAACACACACAGAAAACTGAAATCGAGTGGGGAAAGGTACCCACCTCCATAGCATGGTGGAGAAGTTGCATAAATCTTAAAGCAGTGCAACTATGTGGGAAATGAGTTGGTGTAAATATGACACGAAATACAGGATGCTATAGGGAGACCACTACTGTGATGGTCTTTAGCCCTTAGGAAGACAGGGTAAAGGATTCATCTGGAGGAAACTCATTAACTTTCAGCTCTGCAGGAGCCATTGATTTAGCAGGGAGAATATAGGGATTGGAGAGTCTCAAACCAGACAGTAACATCCAACCCCTCCCCAAATGATTCCATTTTTTTATATCAAGAGATGTAAGGGAAGATTGGCTAGATAGAGCTTATCTCAATGGTCCATTCCACAAAGTCAGCATCTGTACCCTCAAAACTAGAAATGAAGAGTCATTTCTTCAGTGAGTGGGTCCCCTAAACCCCAGCTTTACCGTCCTTCATATCGGCATATTAAGCACCTGCACAGCTGGCCTTGTGAAGCCCCCACCATTCCTCCAGTACCTTTGCCTCTACACCCTCCTGAACTGACCTTACTGGGGAGATCTTGCTGCTTTGTACTGAGATTCTCTGGCATTTCCCAGCAGCGGGTGGAGAGATTTAAGATGGCAGTGGCAGCCATGTGCGCAGCCTCGGCATCATGGGAGTAGTCGAAGCCTGCAGAAGAAGATGACGTGCTCTTCACATAACTACCGGAGGGGCTGTGCCTGGGGGAAGAGGCCTTTGGAAAAGGTTTGGCTGCAAAAAGGGAATAACATGGACTGACACACAACTTAATAAAGAGACAGCGGCTATTCATAAATTTGGGCATTTAGGTAGAGGTGTAACTGGTACTTATATGAACTTAGGTCTTAGGGATGCTCAGGGATCCTGAGGGTGAGAGGTGCAAGAAAACCCACCCAATAAACCACGTTTAACTCTCTTCCCATCTCCCTAACCTCAAGTCCTCCTTTTCAAGAGTCTAGTTCATATATGTATATAAATATACACATACATATACACATATATATGCACATATATGTATGTGTATATATACACACATATATATGCATGTGTATATATATATATATATACATACATAAATACATATATCTTGAAATATTCCTCAGAAAGCAAATGGAAAATTATTACCATGTAGAGAGCACTTAAATATTTGAACATGTCAATTGAGAAAATCTTTATAAGTGAAAACTTCCAGATAGACTCACATTGTGTTCAGATCTTTAATTTTTAATTTTTGGCATACTAAGCAACAGTCATTATCTCAATAGATTTACATTATAGTTGGAGGAAAAACATGTTACATGAAAAATTCAGACCCAAAACAATGACACTTTGTTAGTAATTACACTGAGGCCATGAAATTGCTTTCAGATGAACTAGCAGTCAAATATAACATTTCTTAGTAGTCCAGTTATTTCTTTTATGTGCCCAATAAACCTAAAAGCCCAGAACATAGCAGGACTCACATGGTTTTGCTCTGAATTCCATTTCACCTCACTATGAACCACTCTGGTTTATCTTATGGGAAGTTAAGTGCATGCATCTTGGAAGACTACATGTGAAAAATGACGATTCCTAGAAAATATATTCTCTCCATAAAAAATGGTGATTTCTGCACAATGACCATCTTCTTAAAATGATATTTTTGATAAACACACAAGCGTCCTGGGTAGTTCATTCCTTCTTGTATTGTCCAGTCTAATCCCTGTTTAGGGGTTCAGAGGACAACCTGACAACATTCATGAGGGTGAAATGCCAATTTCAATTTCACACTGTACACTCAGAGATGCTTTTCCATTTCATAAGTATTTCTAGCACTAATGGACTTGCAATCAGCAAATTAGTAAAATAAGTGATGAGAAAAGATAGAAGGGATTATCCTAGTGGGTTTGCAGGAATTATTTTTGTCAGTACAATTACCCTGAAAATTCTTTGCTAATATTGCAAATAACACAATCTATTCAGCAAGAGAGTCACTTGTGCAGAGAAACAAATTACTTTCCCATCAGCGCTAACCCAGGATGGCAGTGGCAGTTGTGTGCACTGGCCTCCATCCAATTCCATTGTCTGATCCTTTACAGATTTAGCCCAGGAATAAAGGGAGCCTCCATCATGGGGAGCCAACTGGGATGCTTTTAAGCATGAGCACTTTTTAGAGAGCAGCTGTGTCAGGATTAAACAGGACTCTGAATTCAGGATTAGTTAGAGAGAGAAAGCTCTCTTGGGGCTAACAACATCTTCTACAAACTGTTTTCTTAAATCTTTAAACACACACACACACACCATGTATGAGTGTAGGTTTTATTTTTGTAGAAAGCTTTCAAAGATGGACAGGGCATGTCTATGTAAAAGCTAATGCGCTTATTAAAGTCTTAAAGGTTGAATATTGTGATAACCGGGGTTGTCCAGAGTGCGGGGTTAGGTGCAAGCAATGGTGATAATGGGAGTGGGGTGGGGCAGGAGAACACAGACTCTATACCTAGGCATCTGTGTTTTGATGGCTGAAGGAATGACTTCGTATTTCCCAAGTACCTGAGTCAGCTCAGCCTGGACAATAGGCCTGAATTGGAGATCTGCCATATGAAGTCATTGGGGGCTAAGTGTATTCTATGCTAGGTGTGGTTTTAACTGGGAAACATATTTGAGGTGCTAGACCTAGGGAGATTAGGCTCTGAATCAAGGAGTCCCAGGGATCCTCTCACTCCTTTCCTGCCCCCACCAATCCTGTATCTTTGAACAACCTGCTAGCCCTGGATGTAAAGCTTAAAGAAAAATCTGAAAGGATCATTAAAAGTAGTCTCAATCCCTTTCCAACTTACATTTAAAGGCTTTAGGTGAGGTTTCGCTAGTCTGAATCTTTGGGGCAAGCATGCGTTTGCCAAAAACCTGAGCATCAAAACTTGCATAATCGAAGGTGACCTTGGAGTACTTCTCCAGCTCCTTAGCCAGGTTGGCCCTGGGTGTGGCTGGGACCATGTTGGGTCTGTAGCTCCCATACTGAGGAATTTCCAGCTGCTTGACGAAGCACATAGGCCTAGAGGGTGGGTGACAAGACAGAAAGATCAGTGAAAGCAAGGATGGATGGAAGGTCCTCAGGGACACATAACTTCAGTCATAGCTGCATTTTATTATTTGAATTACATTAGGGGCTACATAGATTTTTTTTGTTTTTTTGGCGAGGCAATTGAGATTAATGACTTGCCCAGAGTCACACAGCTAGTAAGTGTCAAGTGTCTGAGGGCGGATTTGAACTCAGGTCCTCCTGGCTCCAGGGCCAGTGCTCTATCCACTGCGCGACCTAGATAGATTTTTGTAGGTTGATCTGGGAACTTAACTACCATGTATAACATTGTTTCTATAGGCAAATGCTTGAATTCCAACTTAGAACTTGGAATTCTGGATTTATAGCTCTCTTTCCCTACTCCTACCCTGAGTAGAAATCCTCTTCTTCGTTGAGAAGAGACTCCCCCTCCCCTCCCCACTTCCACTAGCTACATAGTGAGACAGCACTTCTCTCACAGAATGAGGGATTCTCTGAATACAGTATGACAGAGAAGTGAGGAGTGTCTCGCTCGCCACAGTACAGTACCATGGACAGGGCATCATCTCCACTGTGGCGACGATCTCAACAGTCTGATAAAAAAAACTACAAGTCAGCCATTCCATTATCTGCAGGATTTTTAGTGCTGGGCTCAGAGTCAGGAAGATCTGGGTTCGAGTTCTTCTGACACATAATACATAACGTGTGACCAGGGGCAAGTCACCAGACCACCAAACCTATATTTTGCCAACAAGTTAAAAATCTGTATTGGTAAAGAGAGTTCCTTACACAAGACGGACCCATACAAAAATAAATAGATATAAACGTCACCCACCCAACTCCCTGAAAACATTCACTGTACATATATTTTTCTTAATGTATACACATGTAGATATTTTTTATAGATATCATCTGGCTTAACTGTCAAGGTATTACAGATTTTGAGCTGGAAGAGATCTCAGAGACTATTTAGTCTGACCCTTTCATTTTACAGTTGAGGAAACTGAATCCTAGGGATATTAAATGACTTGCCTATGGTCACGTAGGTAGTAAATAAGCATCAGAGACAGGATTCCAATCTAATTCTATGATACAGTAACATAAATTAATATTGTATTCTTATCCCTTCTTCCTCCATGCCCAAGAAAAAATACTTTGCAATCTGTCTTTTCATAACAGCTACAACAATTAGACCTGGTATGATTATTTCCCTTCTCATAGATGAGGAAACTGAGGTTGGAAGAAGTGAAATAATTTGCCCTGAATCACAAAGCAAATTAATATTAGAGACAGTGCCAGGGCCCAGAGCACTGCTATTTCCTATGAATAAAACCCAGAAATCTTAAGGTCAAGAATTGGCATTCACTAGGTTAAGGTCATGGACAAGGGAATGGATACTCAGAGAGTATGGGCACACACAAGCAGAGGTACATGCACACAGGCACATATATGCACACATGCACACACATGCTGGGGCTGGATTTCCAGGCAATCCTTTCTTTGTTTCCAAGGAGAGACAAGCACACATTTCTGTTGCTGGCTCAGGGTGTCAGGAAAGTTAAATGGGTATAAAATCATTGGTAAGTACTCTCCCTCCAAATTCTTTCTCACAAGGATGAGAATGATCACACACATTTCTGTAATGTTTTAAGGCTTGCCAATGTTTGCTTTCCTCACAACTCTAAGAAGTAGATAGTATGAGTATTATTACTCCCATTGCATGTCTAGGCAGTGTGGTTTAATGGATAGATGATGATCCTTGAAGTAAGGAGAACATGGGTTCAAATCTTTCCTCTGAGACAAACTAGCTGTGTGACCTCAGGCAAGTTGATAATCTATTTGGTTCCCCCTGGAATCTCTCTAAGACACCAATCTGCACTGGTGGAGTTTCCCTACCAGGAGTTCCCCACACTGATGAGATTACATACATACATCCTTACCACAAACTCCACTCCCCTTCTCCCCATCCCTTAGAAATCCCATTGCATTGATGACGAAACTGATGCAGAGAGGTGATATGATGTACACAGAGTCAAATAGGTCTTTTCTGACTTCAAGACCCTGTTCTCCTTCTACTATATCAAGAGACTTCGCTAATGGTTGCAGTGGCATGTGCTAGAATCACGACCTGGAAGGGAGGGACCTTAGAGGTCATTTAACTTATCGCTTTTAGTGATAAGGGAAGGCTGATCCTCCTTAGTTCTTAGCACAGTACCTCCTCCTTGTAGATGGAGTTTACTGGACAAACAGGCAAATACCTAAACATCTTCTAAAAATACTAACAAGACAGGCTTTAGAGCCAGGTGCTGTAGAGGTTATTCTGACTCCCAGTGATTGTCTGCTAGCCCATTTCATAGATGCAAGACTTCCTAATCTAGGTGGTATTAAACAAAAACTTTTAGTGAATGTTAGCTTGTTTGTTGCATTTAAAACATACTTTAGAGTTTGGACATCATCTCAGATGATTAAGAGTTAAGTCATAAATCCAGGCCATGAACAAACTTAATGGCACTTTTGTTCTAGGTTTTGCCCCTTGTGAGCTAATGGCCACCTGTGAAGAGGGATGAGCCCATGTGCTCTGGGAAACTTTCAGATAGATGTTTCACAGGGCCCAGTCAGAGGCATGGACCTATTTTTTTTCTTTTTTAAAAATATATATTATTTCCCCCCCAATTACGTGTTAAATTTTTTTTAACTTTTTTTTAAAGTTTTGAGTTCTAAATTCTGTCCCTTTCTCCCTCCCTCCCTCCCCTCCCCCTCCCTGAGATGGTAAGCAATCAGATATAGGTTATACATGTGCAATCATGTAAATCATGGCCTATTTCTCTTTGAGAACAGTCAGGACTGTACATTAGAAAAGTTAGCCACAGGGTGACTTGATCTCTCTTCCTGTTTCCTTTTCCCCTTCCTTCAGGCCCTTAACCAATTATAATGCTCAGAGATCCCAAAGTTTAGATCTGAGAGTGCAGGAAAGAGATAGAACCTTGTTGCCCCATCAATTACTGTCTTGGAACTCCTGAGAAGGGAAGAAATCTGAAATCTGGTGAAATATCCTGGAAGCACATTAGGGATGGGGTTTTCCTATATAAAAGGGGAAAGCTAGAAAGTCATCCTATGATGCTGCATTCCACCTCAGGATGATCTGATGCTGCAGGCAGAAGCTCTCACCACTGTAGCCCAGAGGGCTAATGAGACCCACCTTAGGATGCTGACCTAACGATCTCCAATTGATGGCCCTCCTGAGTCCTTGGCCAACTGTAGTGAATTATCAAATATACAAATGGATCTATGATCTCATTGATTTGGAAATTCCCTCCAACAATGCAGATTATAATCCATCCATGCCTGCCCACCCTGTGTGATACTTGTCCATGTCTCTCCTAAATTTGGGCTTTTCTCAATTTTTCCTAACATTATGAGAATACCAATGGAGCATTGTGGCTGTCTTCCTGTCATCCCTTGCTCTTAGCATGTGACCAGCCCATCTTCTCTTCCAATCATGCATTTCCCTTCAATAAATCTCCTTATATAAGAAAATAGAAGTTTAAGTTCTGTGCATGGCCTTTTTTCTTTCTTTTCCTAGAATGGACAGTGATTGGCCACGCAAATCACTCATTTAGAACAGTATTTGATGTCATGCATAGGAAATAATATGGATGGGAGTAATTGAATACCTTGCCTTTCAAAAATTTTCCTAAGACTTAAAATCGCCAAGCCAACATAAGAAATAACAAAGAAAAAGGCAGCAAAATCATTTCCAGTCAAGTTTAAAAAAAGAAAGAAAGAAAAAGAAAAGAAAGGATCCCTCTGGCTTGGCTAATGCATTAGCAATGATTCCTATGCATTTTACATTCCAAAGCAATCCACAGAGATGTCTTTAGATTCACCATAACTCCCTTGGCCCAGGGCTGTAGCATTATGCAGTGCTACAGAAGTATGTTATTGTCCTGTGTGTGCTCCCTGAAATGAACAATTCAATTCAATTCGAATAAATTAACAGAAGTAGAAACAGCGACTGTCAGAATCGGACTGGACCCTTGGGGCCATCTAATGTAATGTGTACCTGAACAAGAATCCCCTCCCCAAAATATGTAATCTGTGGTCATCCAGCCTCTGCTTGAAGACCCACTATGAAAAGGGAATCCATGATACCCTGAGGTAGCCTCTTTCACTTTTTTTGAGAGCTCACATTATTTAGAAGTTGCTTCTTTTTCTTTATGTCAAGCCTATACCTGCCTCTGCACCCTTTCTACCCATTGCTCTCAGTTCTGTCTTCTAGGGCCAAGCAAATCTACCCCTTATCCACATGAGAGTCTTTCAAACTGTTTAAAGGAAATTATCATAGATCTCTGCGCGCCTTCTCTTCTAGTTCAATACCCCCAGTTTCTCCAACTGAAACTCACATGGGATCAGCTCAGGGGCCCTTGACCATCCTGGCTGCCTTCACCTGGCTGTTCTCCAGCTTATCAACGTTCTTCCTAAAATATGGCACCCAAAACTAAACACTATACTTCCAGATGCAGCTTTTTCAGGACAGAATACAGTAAAGCTATTGCCTCCTTTCTTAGTCCTGGATACACTGTCTCTGAATGTGGCCTAAGACGTCATTTGCTTTTCTTGGCTGCAGTATCTTCCTATTGACTCATATGGAACTTGCTATCCACTAATCTTCACCACCCCCACCTATTTCCAACAAATTTCGATTTGCCCATACCTCTTCCATCTTATACTCGTGAAGCTGATTTTTTAAAAGAATGTATGCAAAACTTTACATTTATCCTCATTAAGCTTTATCTTATTAGATTTGCTAAATTCACTGAGATATTTGCAGATACTAAATGTCATCTTTAGTAATGGTCACTGGAGGATCATTGGATCATAGATTTTGTGCTGGAAGAAGGGACCTTAGAGGCCAAAGAGTCCAAACTCCTCATTTTACAGATGAGAAAATTGAGGCTTTTAGAGGTTAAATGATTTGCCTACCATCATACGGCCAGTAAATGTTAAATGGGATTTGAACCCCTATCTTCCTGACTCCGAGTAAAACTCCTTGTGTCGCATGCAAAATGGATAAATGTAGGATTTTTTCCAATTCACTGATAAAAATGTTTAACAGCACAAGGTCAACCACAGAAACTTATAGTACTCTAGGAGAGAGCTCCTTCTCAGTTGACATTGAACCACTAAAGACTAGTCTTCAGGTCCAGTCATCCAACCATTTTGAAGCTATCATCTAGTTCATAACTGTCCTTCTTGTTCACAAGGATGATATGAGAGACTTTGTCAAATACTTTGTTAAGATCTAGAGAAACTGTAGCATTTCTCCAAATCTAGCATGACCAGCTCTTAATGAAATCATGCTGGGTTATTTCTTGATCACTGCTTCCTTTTCCAGACATTCACTAACCATTCTTTTAATAATTCATTTTAAAATTTTGTCAGAAATTGCAGTCAAGCTTAATGGCCTATACTCTGAAGATTCCTTTCTCTTTTTTGTTTTGGACATTAGAATATTTGCTCTTCCCTAGTTGTGTGGCACTTCTGATCTCCCGAATCTTTCAAAGATCACTGACAAATTCTGAAATCACAGCCACAACCTCTTTCATTTCCCTGAGTCTAGAGCCTGTATCTCATCAAGGACAGCTAGGTTCTCTCTCTCACTATTTCCCTGCTTATATTGGATTTCAACTCCACATTAACTGTTTTTGACCTGCACTTTCCAGTCCAAAGGTCATTCTATGTTGTAGAGGAAACAGAAGCAAAACAGCTGGGCAGCTTTGCCTTTTCTCATTGGTTATTTTCATCCCATTCACCCAAGCAACAGTCTTATTTACCCCTTCTTTGATTCTCCTTTTCTGCTATTTTAAGAATTCATTTTGATCCAATTTACATTAAGCACCTAAAATGTGCAGGTCCCAGTACTTGGCACTGGAGACACAAAGATGGAAAATGACATGGTCTCTGCTCGCAAAGAGCTTACAATCTTGAATTATCAATGAATTATCTACCCATCTTAGAATGACTTAAAGATGTAAAAACAGGACTCATTACTAAAGCAACAGAGCCATAGGATATGAGCATGTCATCAAGGGACACGGAGGGAGAGCCCTCTGAGTCCCAATTAATAAGAGTAGGTTCTTACTAATGATATTTGCTTCTGTCCTCTCTACTTCACTCACCTGAGAATCCGATCAGAATTTGAGCTACTCTTGGAAGGATCGCCCGCCTGCGGCTGTTGCTTCTCATGAGATTTGGCTAATTTTTCAGCTGCAGCAATGGGACACCCAGACAAACTAAGGAAAAAAACACAAGGAGGAAAAACTGAGCATAAGGAACAGGGAGACATCTCCCTTGGCTCAGGATTTGCACTGAATGTGTCTTGGTCTTATTGTTGCCATCTCACCCCCCCAAGCATGAGCACTCACAGAGCTCCACAGGTGTGATGGGATGGGGCCACTGGAAAGGACAATGAAGAACATCTAGAAGAAATTCTAAGCAAGGGAGGGCATTACGCCTGACTACTCTTCTATTTCCCTCATTGGTTCCTTGTCCTCCCACTCTCTAAGTGTGGGTGTCCCCAAAGGCTCTATCCTAGATTCCATTCTCTTCTCTTTTTGTACTCTTCATTGGTTATCTCATCCATTTTTATGGTTCAACTATCACTTCTATTCAAAAGATTCACAAATTTACTTATCCAGCACCAATTTTTTCCAAGTCCTCTCCTGAATTTCACTAGCTCCGATAAACATCTGAACCTAAATATCCTCCTGGAACCTCAAACTCAGCATGGTAGCAAATGAACTCATCATCTTCCTCCCTTAATGCTCTCTTCCTCTCATCTCCTCCTTTCCTATTGATGGCACCACCATCCATAGAAGAGAATTAAAGGGGTTGGAAGAGTTAGTTTTTAAAGTAAAATGGGGATAATTGTACCTGAAGTTCCTACCTCTGAGAGTTATGAGAATCAAATGAGCTGATTTATGTGGAGCACTTAGTAAACTTTAATGTACTACATGGTTGTCATCTTTTATTGCTATTATGTGCCCTAAAGCAATTAAAAAACCATAAAGTCATAGTTCTAGAGCTAGAAGAGAACTTAGAGGTCATCTAGTTCCTCCTGTTATTTATTTTTTTTTTATTCTGCACTTAACAAACACAAATAGAATGAACATCTCTATATGCAAAGTAGATCAGAAAAGGAACATTGGATAATGTGAATCTCTATTCTACACAACTTGCTTTTCTTTTTAGACAGGCAATAAATTCTACATGTTTTAAAGTTGTTCTGCTTTCTGTGATTCTTTGTGGCCCTTCAGTTAAAAGTTAAGAAAACTGAGGCCCAGGAAGGTTAAGTGACTTGCCAGGGATTACAGAAGTAGTAGGCATTGGAGACAGGAGTTGATGTTTCCACCATTATTTTTTGGGAACCATGGTCATGTCATCTGACAATGTTCATGAGCATAAAAGTCACTTAACCTCCCTGGGTCTTAGGTTGTTTCCTTATCTGTAAAATGAAGGGATAATTTCCAAGGTCCCCTTTCAGCTCTAAATCTATGAAACTCTGAATATATAAACCTAGGTTAGAAACTTTGGGGTTTCTTGGGGGACTTTTCACTCTTTCTCATTTGCCATATCTGATGCTCCTCGTCTGATTTGAGGCCCTATACTTCTGGCTCCAATTCACCTTTTCAGAAGCCAAGGCATATTGATTCTACTAACATGAACTTCTCTTGCCTTCATCCCCTTTGAATCACCATCTCTAATGCGGACTATTATACTAACCTCCTAAGTGGTTTCCCTGTATCCAATTCTTATCCTCCCCAATCCATCCTGTGAAAATAATCCTCCTAATGCACAGGCTGATCTCCTGTTAAAAAATCTTCAGTGATTCTTTATCATCTATGGGATAAAATATGAAATCCTTGCTCTAGTATTTGAGGCCTTCCACATTTGGTCCCAACCTATCTTTCTAGCTTTATTCCACATTACTCCCTTTTATGCACTTTCTATTCCAGACAAACCGGACTGCTAGTTCCTTCCCAAACATCATTTGTCCTCCCTAGCCTCTGTGCATTCACAGATTCTATCACCGCCTACCCAAGTCCTTCTTTCATTCCAAGGTCTGACTCAGGGGCCACCTTTGTCATGAAATCTGCCTCAATCCTCCTACTAAAAGTGTTCTCTTCTTCTTCCAGTTTTCTTAGAACATTTAATTGGAATCTCTTTTTAAATTTTATCATACTCTACCTTTAATTTTAATTATCTTTCTAAGTGTCATGTCCACCCTAGGGTTAGGCCAAGGCTACTGACTCCTTGAAGACAGAGACTATTTTTCATCTTTATATCCCCAGTGTGGAGCATAGTGCTTTGCACACAGTAGGTGATTATTTGTTGAACTGAATTTGTTGCTGAAATCCAAATCTTGCCCACTGGTCTTCAACAAACATTCTTTGGAGTTACTTCTCTCTTTACCCTCTGAGAAAGGGTAGCACCACAGATTGCTACCATATGCCCCACACAGTAGATGCTCTGAGAAAATACCAAGTCAGCAATGGAATTTTTCACGGTAATTAGAGTAGGGAAGGGAAAGAGAAATCTCAGGTTGTGGGCCAGGAGGCCAACGTTGCATTCTGCATGATTGTTTGCTCTCTTTGGGTATGGAGTTGGTTTGGTTGGTGGCTCTACCCTCCCAAGAGCTGTAAGAACTCTTTGAAAAAGAATACACCCTTATTCTGGTTGCCTGGGTCTGACCCAAAACTGAGCCACGATGGCAAGCCTCATAGCTTATTGGGTCTAAAAAGGACCTTTGAGATCATTTAATCCAACCCCCTCTTTTAACTGAGGAGGAAACTGAGACCCAGAGAGGTTGAATGACTTGCCTAGTCATTTGTGGCAAAACCAGGAAATGAACCCAGACCCTCTGACTCCAAACCCAGAGCTACATAATGATGGTGACTTGTCATAGCCTCAACACCCAGGAGAGAGAGACTGGATCATGCAAGGTGGTTCTCTAAATCCATTTTCTAAATGAGCTGATCAGTGAGATTAGACAATCATCATATGTTACAGTCCAACCAGGGAAAGGGCTCATTATTGACTCCACCAGGGCAGATTCCTTCCTGCCTTCCCTGCTGCTCATCTTCTATAAAGGCTCTGTGTGTGTGTGTGTGTGTGTGTGTGTGTGTGAGCATAACTTATTTTTACACACCATTAGCCCTGGGCTCACCAGTAGCCAGAAGGGAAGAAAGACCCTGTGGCCTGACCGTCAAAAGATATGAGACTTGGTTTGGTTTTACCATGGCCACCCAGTATAACCTTTTATTAAGACACCTAGCCTTGCAAAGGGTCTTGGTTGGTCCATAAATTAAACAGTGACAGGGGATTCTATAAAGACTTCTAGATAATGGACATCGGGTAATGTGAAAATAGAGAGACAGAGCTGTTTGCACTTGTTAACATCAATAGAGTACAAAATAAAGTATTTTAATTTCCTAATTCTGGCTTGGAGAGGTTATAGTGTAATTACAACAAGTTTTAAATTTAACCTTATCTGGTTTATTAGACTGGAGGCTTTCTCAGTAACATTACTAGACTGTAAGTCTTCCATGAATGAAGTGGAAACTAAACTAACTTAACTAAATTCTATCTCCACAAGCATCTAGCACAGCGCTCTACACACAGTAGGTACTTAATTCTTGTTTATTACATGAATGAATGATTGAATAAATGAATGAATGAATAAATGAATGAATGAATGAATGCACAATATAACGTCCAACTGCTCCAGGTACAAATACTCACATGTCATTCATTGAGCATGATCATTGATAACACAAGGAATTAATGCACTTGGGTGAGAGTTATGGAGGTGTATTCAATCAATTTTAAATTATCTTCATCATGAGGAACACACATGGAATAGATGATTGCAATCCACATATGACCCAAATTTCAATCTCTTTTTACTTGGACTTCTCACAAAGAAAATAATTGACTAATTTGAGGTTTTTTCCCCTTAGTTTCCCTATTATCTCTCAACTAAGAAGAAAAGGACACTCAGTTTCTGTCTTGCAAATAGTTTTCTGGCCCCAAAGTTCCATCTGTCTTCTGACATCAGTATCATCCCATATCTCCCCTTTTCTGGTCTTGTCCTCTTCTCTCTCCCTTCCCATCTTGTGCCTCCCTCAGAATCATTGGCAAGCAGGAAAACCAGGCTTGTAGTGAATGAGAATCAAAAATTGTTGGGTTTTCCCAAAGCCCCAGGGACTGACTCTTTCAGGCTATTGGCCAATGGGCTATTCATTAGGCACAGTTGTTAGCAGTTTGAGGCCCCCTGAGTTGGTCAGTGGCTCCACCCTCCTATCAGCTTGGTGACAAGTACCTTCTGTGTGTGTTCCGGTTGCTGTTTACGTGACCTTGCCCTGTACAGCCAGGAGTGGGGCATTTCAACACATTCTCATGCATGGCCAAGACTGTAGGAGAGACAGGGAAGGGGAGAAGGGAAGAGGTGAGGCAGAGTTGAAAAAAAGAGACAGATAATCAAATCATTCTACAAGCCACATTCTAGGGCTTGAGCAAACAGAAACGTTCCTTTAGGGTTTGTCTATAGGAAAGGAAGAGCCATAGCCATTCACTCTTAAATCAGATATGGGATCTAGGTCAAGTATCAAGTATGGGGGGAGGGGTGTGTGTGTGTGTGTGTGTGTGTGTGTGTGTGTGTGTATGGTCTGTGCAGAAGGTAGAAGGGGTGAGTGAGCCATCTCCTACTTCTTTTGAATTCTTCCTTTCTATGGCAGAAAAGAACAAGTGCCTGGCATTATTGCCTTTAATCCTTCACATGGGCTGCGGTTTCCATCTAATTGTAATCTGTCTTGTGCAGTGATCACCTTAAACATGAAGAAAATAATTTGTTTTCTGAGACTTTCCTTTTGTATGTTTTGAATTCAAGCTACAATGAAGGTGACTATTCTCATCTCCCTAGCACCTTGTCCCCCAAACCCAATTCCTGCAGTTCTGTATTTATTATAAGCCTGCAAACTGGAATGACAGATAAGGCCAATTTGGCCATTATCCAATTATCCCACACACAATGTTATTTATGTTCTAAGAGTATTCTATTTCAGGCTCAAGGAGAGATCAACTATAGCTTCTCTTCTAGAGCATTGTCCACATGTACCCACTGGCTATCTGCAGGCACATCTGACATGTTGTAATTGTGAGTTCAATGACTGGTTATGGGGAATGTTTTATGTAGGCAGTCCCTATGCCACTGGATCTGGAGCCTATGGCTAATTGGAGGAACTGGGTAAGTGTCTGACAGCCCAAGGCACCATGAGACCTGGCCTGAAGTGAACTGCTTGCCCTGCTGAATGACAGCAATGCATTGTGAGCTTTGAGGTTTGGACAAATGTCATGGGCCAATGTGAACAGTGACTATGAAGGGTACTCACTCTCTGGAGGAATCCTGTCCTTGTGGGGGCAGCCAGACAGACTACGATGATGAGGGTACAATCCTGTGACATGACCAGTTCCATCACAACCTGGAGTGGGGCATTTGATCTCACGCTTTTCAGCTCTTGAAGCATCTAGGAAGGAACGCAAGGGGAGAAGACTGGAGTTTCCTCTGACTTAGGAGTTATGGACAGATGGCCCCAGACAAAGGAAGAATAAGAAAGGGAAGGTTACAATACCTAACACTAGTTTGCTGTTCAGAGAAGGAGGAGCTGAGGGAAGAGGTCATGGAAGGTGGCATAGGGATTTCCTGAGACTAGAACCATACTACTCAAATGTTCAATCAGAATAAAATGTGACTTGGGAAAGCCATTTCTTCTTAACACCAACCATTGGGATAGAAATTGAAAATTTCAGTCGATGATCCAAATATTTCTAGCCAAAAGGCTGGATACACTCACTGATCAGTAGAGCTGGGACCTTGGACATCAGTTAATTTAACCTCTTTATTAGACAGATGGAGAAATTAAGAACAAAAGAGTGAAACTGACAGGTTCAAAGCCACTCATCCAGTGAGGAAGAGAACCAAGATTAGAACTTGAGTCTCCTGACTCTGTCCAAGGTGCTTGGTATCTTTTACACAAAAGTTATCTAGATAGTTAGGGCAGTTAGCTGGTATGGTGGAGAGAGTGCTGGCCCTGAAGTTTGGAAGACTCATCTTCCTGAGTTCAATCCAGCATCAGATCCTTACTAGCTGTGTGACCCTGGGCAAGTCACTTAACCATGTTTGCTTTAGTTCCTCATCTGTAAAATGAGCTAGAGAAAGAAATGGCAAACCACTTCACTATCTTTGCCAAGAAAACTCTAAATGTGATCATGAAGAGTCAGACACAACTTGACAACAATCTGGATAGTTGATTGAATTTTCTTTTTAATCTGTTTTGGAAAAATTTTCCCAATAGAAACCCATCTGAAATGGGATGGCACTGGGGCAAACAAGTGTGCCTGGGAATCAGATCAATTCCCTCTGTCAACAGACAGGCCAATGGGGAGGTAGGGAGCATAGTATTTAAGCTGGTAGATCTTTAGCATGGTACTGTAGGAAGAATGTTGGTCTAGTGTCAGAAGATCTGTGTTTAAATCCTGATTTTGTCACTTCTTATATGTATGACTTCAAGCAAGTCACTTTATATCTAGGGTCTCAATTTCCTCATCCATAAAATGAAGGCTTGGACTAAATCATCTAGTTCCCTTCCAATTCATCTATGAACTTTTGAGATAAACTATGGAAGGCATACACTTCATGGAAGGAAAATAGAAGTTGACTATCTGAGGTCACAAAGACCTGTAAAAATAAGGTTTGACTAATCTCCTAAGCTGGATGGTGGCTAGACTCTTCCTAACTGATGACTTAGGCCAGAATCAGTTTCCTAAAGATAGCTTCAGTCTTATATCCCCAGCCTTACTTTACATTATGAAATGAACTTTTTCCCAGCCAAGCTGACATACATGAAAAAGGGTCTATCCTTATCCTCAATCTGTGCCTCTTAAGTACTTGGAGTATTCTCATTCCTCTCCTCCCCACTCCCTGGCCAAATAACCAGTCAGGGGAAGTACTAAGCCAAGACTCTCCTCAATGGAGGTTTTCAAGCAAAGACTAGATCATCACTAGTTAGGGATGTCCTTGAGAAATAGTCTTGTTCAAGTATGGGTTGAACTAGGTAATGTTAGAGGTCCCTTCCAACTCTCTGAGTCTGGGACCCTGAAATTTTTAAAGCCATTTGTATCTGTCATTTGGATAGAATCTGTAAAAAATCTAGTTATTCAAACATTTTTAAGTGGCTGGATAAAATCTCAAAACACTCAAGGCATTTGGGAGGAAGTGTAAGCCCTCAGTGAGAATATACAAAGCTTCTTTAGCTAACTGAACATTTGGTTTACAGAGCTCTTGGCATTGTTTTCTCATTCAATCGTTGGACAGTCTCTCTGCCTAGCCCTCAACCTTCTTCTCATCAAATGATATCGACAGAATCTGTAATAGTTCTCATCACTAACTGACTGTATGTCAGCCTTGACACCTCCTTGAGGATAGAACCAAGCTACATTTATCCTTCAATTCAGCAGTAGCTTTTTTTATTTTTACTGGATTCTTGATAGATCTTCCCACCTTCCACCTTTCTGTCATGCACTATGAGCTGCTACCCACCCAGTATCAGAGGAAAAGAGGACACCCAAGAAGTCCCATCTTTAAGGCAGCTTAGATTCCATTTCATCGGGCCAGTTGTGTGTGGGTAGTAACATTCACATTCTTTTACATTTAAAATCCTACTTGTAGGAAAGTCAGGGCCTGGCTTAAGAGCAGGGGAACTGAGTTAGGAAAGCAGCCTACAAATGGGGCTGGCATCTGGCTAACCCAGAAAGCAGCTTCATCTAGAGACAGTGTAGATAGAGCCTGGAAAAGCTGGGATGGGCAGGGAGTTGGGACAGGACCCACATAGGAAACAGCCATGGAGAGTAAGGAAGGAGGGTGGGGAGAAGGGGCTAGGTCAGCCGTGGGTAGTGGGGGTGAGAATAGAGTAGAGGAGGGAGCAGGAATCCAGGTGACAACAGCCGTACCTGGGGGCATAGTGCCCTGGGAAACTGTTCAGGAGGTGACTGAAATGGGGAGCATAGGAAATGAGGGTAGGCAAGAGGCGTACCTAGCACATGGTAGGGGATTAATGAATATTTGTTGATTGGCAGGAGGCTGGATCAAGGCCCGCTGGTCAGCAGAGGCAGGCTCCAGGGTAAGTCAATACGATGCTGCCCGAGGCGGGAGGGACCCAACGGAATATGACTAGACTTACCTTTGCTGTAGTAATTTTTCCGGACTGTGTCCAGGGGCCGGTTTTGCTTCCCATCGGCCTGGAGCGGTTTCCCTGCTTCAGATGGCAACCGGCCGGGCTCCCGGACTACCCGCACTTGCTCCGCTTTTAGCGCGATGGCCTGTTCCAGGAGGCCCAGGTTTCCCCGGGTCATCATGTCGTACATGTCTGACTCGTCGGTCACCGCGGACTTCTGGGAGTGTGCATCGTCGTCCTTGTCGCCGTCAGAGCGCACTTCGACGATGACCGAGTACTCAGGCTGAGGGCTGAGCTGGCTGGGGCAGTGAGGCTTTGGGGGATCCTGGGAGGCATGGGGGACTTCTTCACAGACCACTTTAGGTGGCTTCTCTTCCTCCTCCTCCTCATCCTCCTCTTCTTCCTCCTCCTCCTCCTCATCCTCATCATCCTCGTCCTCTTCCTCATCGTCTTCTTCCTCTTCGGTGGCCTGTGCCCCAGTCTGGGCTTTGCGGGAGTCCTGACTGGCCAGGCCTTCTCGGGGCTCCAGACACAGCTCTCCACCTCTCTCGCCTGTGACCTCAATGACTTCCTCAGCATCTTCTGTCTGGATGAAGATTTCCTTGTCTCCCTCTCCCCCGGTTACCCCCTCACGGGCGCCCTCTTGAACCAGGTGGACGATGTTGGCTCCAGACTTTGCAGCTTGCCCTTGGCTCTCAGGCAGCTGGCCCTCAATAGCCAGGGTTTCTTCTGCGATTTGGCCCAGGTTTAAGAGAGAAGTGGCAATGATTTCCTGGTAGCTGCTGTAATTGGCCTTGGAGGGGCCAGTTGGACCACTAGATGCATTGGGTCTGTAGTGGGACTTGGTAGGGCTCCTTCCTGCACAAAGAGAGACTGTAGATATGAACACTTCCCCTTCCTTCCCAAGAGTAAGTGGGAGTTGATCTGATAGTAACAAAAGTACCACTAACAGATGGTTAGCACTTTGTACTCTTCTTGTTTTAATCTGCACTCATTTATTGGTTATACTTGCATTATCTTTCCCTAATAGTGACCCTGAATTCCAGACACCCCAGTCTTACTTATAGAGAAGAGAGGCAGTTTGTGTTAATGGCTTCTAAATTAGGAAGAACTGGGTTCAAGTCTTTCTTTTGGGGTCCCTGGCAACTCTAAGTAAAACTACAGATCAATGAGAAGGTGTTTCAGCTTTAGTAAAATAAAAGTTCCTCACCAAGAGCTCACTAACCCAATAAAATCACAAGTTAAATAACAGAAAAAAAAATTAAAAATATGATAGACACTTATGACTAGAAAAGAAAGTGGGTGGGAAATATTGTGAGAATGAGAGTCAGAAGACAAATAGTCCAAGTATTATATGAGTAAGGAAGGTTCTGTAACACTGAATGTACCCTCTTGAGGATTTATGAAAGACCTGGATAAGAAATATGCACAGGACATGCTTGGTAGGACTGTGATCTGTACTAGTGGTGAGGGTATTCATACTAGTAAAATCTCAACTCCATTAAAGTACCAAAGTTGATAGTATTTATCTTTGTATCTCTCCCCTCCCCAGCAGCCACCCTCAGCCCAGGACCCCTGAATATACTTGGTGTTTAATGCACATTTATTGAATGTTGAATGAGTAAATAGTAATTATGCAAACTATCAGAAAAGCCTGCAGAGTTTTCAGAAACAACCAGGCCCCTAAATGCCATTTCATTATAAAATTTCCACCCCACTTCTCCCCTACCACCTTCCAATATCATTCTCTTCTTCCCCCTAACCTCCCAAATTTTCTCCTGCAGCAAAGACATATTCCTGCAACCTTAACTCAGAGACCAAGGAAAATTTTCACTTAAAAAATACAGGAAAGCATCTTTTTTTGTCTAATTTCCTTTAAATCCAGGCTCATTTCTTTTAGGTCAGGGCTCATATAAGCCCATGTTAAAAAATGAAACCAGCATTGCCATGTTAGAATAATTCTTTCTCATAATAAGATATTAAAAATGTACTTTACACTGTCATGGATAAATCAAATGTTTGTAAATTGATTCATTTTAAATGCATTAGGGGAGTACCCTTTGAAAAAAGGGACTTGCAGTGAATCCTTTGCTGGTTACCTCTGTAATTTATATTTTGTAATATGTCATTTTTTCATATAATTTTTTCTTAATGCTGAGGCCAGTAGGGCATTTACAAGGGGGAGGCTCAGGCAACCCTGAAAGGCACACACCACTGCAGGTGTCTGCCCCGTGTCAATTATTTGGCGCTTTCTGGGGGAGCCTCCCAGCATTCCTGAGGATAAGAAACCTCTTGTTTTCAGAAGGGTTGTGTGTGCTCTTGATTTGGGGAGGCTGAGCCAAGCTAGTGTTCATCCCCCCTCAAACATGGGACTCCCTTGACATCCTCTCCCCGCCTTCCCCCTCCTACCCCGCCCCAAACCAGAACTCATAGGGACTCTAATTCTTCTGCAGCTACACTAAATGCCCTTTGTTCAAAATGTGAAAAAGCAAACTTTCTAATCAGAGTTGACAAAGCACCTTCAGCTGGCTCCGGGCTATGAATCTCCTCCTGTTCTATGGGTTCAGGCTCTTCCTCTTCCAAAGTTCCTTCCGATTCATCGGAGACAGAATCCTCCTTCGCCTCTGTCTCCTCACTGCCATCACTATCTACATTGTAGCCTTCATCAAGAGCCAGCTTCAGAGGATGAGATTTCCTCTTGGACACCAGGTGCTCCGCCTCCGTGTCTTGAAGCTTTCTTTTCTTTGCTAGAGGACAGCTTTGTAAACTGGAAGGAAGAAAGGACTCAGTTCAGCATGAGGCACAAGGAAGTCTACAGACAGACGGGACCTAGGGAGGTCAACACATCCATTTTCCTGACCAGGTTGTAACAGCCAAATCATGCAGATGAGAATTTGTTCTGTTTTTAATACCTCGGAGGTTAAGGGGAAAAGGACTGATTGCACGATCCCTTTCAACCAGTCTTCCTAGAGTTTAAACATTCTCACACGCAGAACAATCCTTTCTTGAATCTTACCCCTAATATCTTATGACATTACAAAACCATTTCCTTCTTCTATCCTCAGGTTAGGTTAGGATGATTGTCAGGAATACCAATTAAGACAAACTTCTTTCTTTTTATTCTTACTACTGCCCTTTCCTTTTCTTCTGTCCTCCAGTTGTTCAACACTGGGCAAGTCACTTAACCTCTGTCTGCCTCAGTTTCCTCATCCATAAAATGGGGATAATAATGCTACCTACTTTTTAGGGTTGTTGTTTGGATAATACTTGTAAAGTATTTTGTAAACCTAAAAGTGCTATATAAAAGCTAGCTAATATGTTGCATTCATTGTTTGTACTGTCCTTAATTTTGTGACTTTAATGTTAAACCTTACAAAATGATAATTAGAATATAATCTCTTTCATGGCAACAGTTTTTTTCATTTTTATCTTATTCCTAGTACTTTCAAGACATGGTGCCTGGCCCATATTAGTTACTTAATAAATGTTTGTTGAATAAAGAATGAATGAATGAATGATGGAATGATCATCTGAAAAATTATCACAAAATGAGCCTCATTCTAGTTGTGGAGAGAAAATTCAACCCAGTCTATGCTTCTCAAAAATACAGAAAATGGGAGAGGTGCCATGGGAGAGGTACTGCAGTAGGATAAATCTTGCAAAGGGCAGATGTTCTCCCAAAATGTAATGTTACTGATAATTGACATTTGTGAGGGGCTTTAAGGTTTGTAGAACTATACCTGAACCCATTTGAGCCTCTGAACAGCCCTATCAGGTAAGGTTTACACATATGAACGCCACCCTGTTACACATACACATTAGAAAACTGAGGCTCAGGGAATTTAAGTGACTTGCCCATTTTCACATAGCTAGTGTCAGAAGTAGGACATGAACATGGGATCCTCCTGATTCTAAGTCCAGGCCTCCTTCTACTGGGTCACACTGCCTCCCCAATGGAAACAAAAGTTGAGTCCTCCAAACTACAGTCCAATGAATCCAATGATGACACATGGAAAAATTCTAGAATGGTGATTAATTGTGTGCTTTATGGGCCCTTAGGAAAAGGTGATTACTATGCACCAGTATGAGTTCATTAAGACGCGGTTATAACACATTCACTTCCTTTACTTTCTGGCAGGATCGCTAGACTGTCACTAGGATGCCATAGACATAATGTACTTGAATTCTAGCAAGGCATTTAGCACAGTCTCTCATACAACATCCTCATGGTCAATATGGAGAGTTGTGGACTGGATGATGATAAAGTTAGGAGGATTTGGGCCTCCTTGAATGACTGCCTCCAACAAGTTGTATTTAATGGATTAATGTCAGTCTAGAATGGGGCATCTCTGGTGGAGTGCTCTAGTGATCTGTCACTGGCCCTATTCTATTCTAGATTTTTATGAATGATTTGGATAATGGTATAGATGATAGTTATTATGTTCATGGATTACACAAAACTTAGAGAAAGAGATATTGCATGGCAGAGCTAGAATCTAGAAAGATCTCGACAGGCTAGAACAAAGGGCCAAAGCTAATAAGGTAAAATCTAATAGGGATAAAGGTTAAGTCCTGTTCCTAGATTTTAAAAAAAGTCAATTGTTCAAGTACAGAAAAGAAAAGATATAGCTAGGAAAAGTTAATGTGAAGAAGACCTAGGGATTTTAGTAACCTAAAAGTACAATGTGAGTTAATTATGTTACTTAGTAGTTTTTAAGCTAGTGCGATCTTCAGCATCATTCACAGAAGCATAGTGTTCAGAAGAAGGGAAGTTGTAATCCTGCAAACTCTGACCTGGTCAGACTGAGTGCTGCTACAATGGGAGCAAGGGGAGCAGCTGAGGCTTTCCCCAGCTTCTAAAAATGGGGGGGGTCCTGTTTCTAGGAGATGTGAAGTTTTTCCCATGGTGATCTGGAGGCTATGCTCCCCATGCCTTGTGCATTATGGTTCTCTACTATCTCTTGCCCCTATTGGTATTGGAACAGGTAGGCATTTGGAGAGGGCAAAAGAGTGATGTGGAAGGCCAGTGAAAAAAGTAGGTAGGAATGGGCTCTCCCTGTGCTGTTGCTCCCAGGAACCAGTGGGCAGGGTGGCAATGCTCTAAGGACCACATTCTTTCTGGGCAGTGCTTATTCCACTGACCAGCTAGTGCTTGGGAGTTCCCAGGATGTCCGTGAAGTGCACTGTCTCCTTGGACAATATCACTGGTCAAGAGAAAGCTGGATCTTTTCACCACAGTTCCCTGGAGCTCCTTTAGGGCCTGCTCTTTCCAGCAGAAAAGAGGTCCCATAGAAACATAATCTCCCTGAGGAGCAGTGCAGGATCTATTCCTGGAGGAAGCAGATGATTAAATATCATCCTAAGTGGGCAGCCTATGGAAGCATTTCATTATCTCTGGAGCAGTCTGGTCCATGTTTGTGGAAGGTCAGGAATGTGAGGTCCCTGTTCTTTCCTCATGGTGGGTGGATGGAGGGTATCCTGGAGATGGGTAATCCTGTGGTTATTCCTCTGGTCAAATCACATGGCATTATTGCCTCTAGTGCTGGGTGTCACCTTTTAAGAAGACATTGGCAAGCCAGAGCACAAGACTTGAAGGGACTACATGTCATTCTCTCTAGGCAGTGTAATGGAAAGATCCCTAGATTGGCATTTGGCAGACCTGAGTTTGAATCCTGGGCCCTGGCTCTTGTTAGCTGAGTGACCTTCCTCATCTGTAAAATGAGGACCAGATGATCTCTAAGGTTCTTTCCTTCCTAATCAGAATCCTGTGATTTTTATAAAATCATGGCTCTAACCTTCTATGGCCTATTTAAATTTATGCGACATTGATCAGCCACAGATACTAGGAATCGCAAAATTCTCCATGCCACTTCTAGTGCAGATACTGTTGAGGGCTAGATTTTTTCTAAACCATTGAATGCATCTTGAAGCAAGTAGATAAGGGACATACCTTCAGAGCCTAAAACAGCTTAGTTAGTTCTTGAACCCAATTACAGATGTATCTCCTTCCTGACCCAGCAGGGAAGAAAAGGCACACCCAGATGAAAACCATCTGGCCTTTTCCTTCCTCTCTGAAAATCTTTCACTTCCCAGCAAAGGTGTCTTACCTTCTGTGCCTTGAATACTTCCCACGGATGTGCCCTGAACCATTGCATCCTGGTGTGGGGCAGCTTGAGGAGGAAACAAACAACAATATAAACTTGGGGGTGACTTTGAGGCTTGATTTTAATTAGAATGAAGAAGAATCTGCATTTAAGGAACAACCCCCCACCCTCCAAAAATCTATATGGTAGAAAATAATTTTATTTAAGTCATTCTCATCCCTTTGCATTCCAACTAGGAAAGAAGGGTGGAATGGCTGCTTGCAGTTTGCTAAAAATTAATGAAATGACTCACCCCATTTAATTAAATGAATGGTTCATTATAGTTTTATGAGTGTGTTTAATTAAAGATCTGTATGTGTAAGACCAAGTCTTTTAAAACCCGGCATCTACTGTATCTTGCTTCCCTTCCCCATGGATACATATTTACAGTTGCAGAAATAGACAGGGCCACTTCTTTTTAAATTGTTCATCACACAGAATTTTGCAGTGGTTTGTGAACCACATTTAAGATGCAGTCAATAGCAGTCACCCCCTTTGATGTTGTCTGTACCTCCTGTGAATATCTGCATTTTGCAGAGGGGCCTCCCTAAGGCACACAGGCTGGTAAAATTTTCTACCAGCATCACTCAGGACTCTGAAGATGTCATCTGTCAGTAAAATGAGGGGTTTGGAATAGATGGCCTCTGAGTTTCTTTCCACTTTAGACCAATGATCCTATGAAATCAGGGGTGAATACAGCTTGCCCCACTCCAGAATTTTTGCCTTGTATATTCATTCCCTTTCCACTGGAAAGTATTGAGTCCTAAATGTAAAATCTCACTGAGGCTACTCAATCCCATGCTAAGGCAGACCTAAAGAACTCAGTTTCTAAGTTTTAGGGATTGCCCCAGATACAGTAAGGCACTGATAACTAGTAGACTCACAGATGCAGACTAAGTACTGTCTACATATGCTTCATTTGCAACCCAGAAAACAGCCAGTAGAAGAAAAAAAGTGGGGACTGTGATTTGAGACTGAGCAGAAAAGTGATTGCTTTGAGCTAAGCCAGGGAAGCAAAGCTAACAAATGCCTTTTCTTTTAAGTTCTTTATATCACTTCCTGGTTTCCAGGATCAGATGGAAAAGGCTAGTGAAGATGCACTTAGGACAGCAGTGACTGGGGGCTTGGTTTCCCTATAGATTTGGCTTCTTGCAGCTGGAGCTGGGGGCGGGGGCTAAAGGCTGTATTCTGACCATTAGTTAGTTGCCTGGCCTTCTGCCTGCTACAGTTGTTAACTGAGTGGGAGGTGAAAGTCTAGTCGGGGTGGGGAACCTGCAGCCTCAAGGCTGCAGGTTCCCCACTCCTGGTTAGGTTGAGAATCTGAGATTTGTATTTCTTGATGTAATCTGTCCTCCTCCAACCCCCATCAAAGGGAAAACTGTGATTGAATCACTGCAGAAAGCTCTTCACCTCCTTTCTTACTGGAAATGTTTTGACCTGGAGAAATTCAGCTTTGTCCTGACATGATGTTTCTTCCCTTAGGTGTCGATTTGCATGGGCAAGAAGCTATTCCCTGGCAGCCACACTTGATTAAGCCTTCCAAGAATTGCCAGGTAGTTCCAGGAAGCCCATTGGAAAGGATGAAGTTTAAACATTAGTGCCTCAGGTTCTCTTAAGGCCAACA